CGTAGTTTGCCTGTCCAACAGCCGAGATCGATACGGCGCACTATTTAGGAGCATGTCTTAACATAGAGGGGGCCAGTCGAGTGGAGGTGTTGACCGGGTGGTGGATTGGGAAGTGAGGAGGCCGGAGAGGTGGGGAGGTGCCAGTCGAGCGGAGGCGTCAGGTGGAGGATGGAGAGGTGAGGAGGTGCGGAGAGTGAAGAGATTTGAACTTGAATGTGAGGATCTTGAAGTCCATCCGTTCGGTGATGGGGAACCAGTGCAGCCTCGGCCAGAACTGGGGAGAGGTGGACACATATAGAGGAGATACACACACACACATTCCCAAACACATACATACAGAGGAGAGAGAGAGAGACAGACACATGGAGACACTCAGACACACGGAGGGAGACGCACACACACAGACACACACACAGACACACACACAGACAGTCACACGCACAGACACACACAGACACAGAGACAAAGACACACACACAGACGCACAGAGAGACGCACACACACACACACACACACAGACACACAGACACACACACAGACACAAACAGAGAACAGACACACGGACAATCTCAACAGTGCGGCCTCCGAGTGAATCGAAGGCTATTTCCCGCTTACGCTGCACCCCACATGCACAGCCGGAGCTGCTCCGCCCACATTATCGTCGGGTAAACAGCCGTGAGCAGCGCAGGGCCAGAAACCCCATTATTTAGTGGTTTTATAGCTCAGGCGTTGGTTATTGCCGACACCGCGGAAACATTCCACCGCACTTTTCTATTGGCCCAACTCATAGCTCATTGCTCTCACACAGGGCATCAAGCCTCGTGGCTCTTCTCTGCAATGACTCTATTTCTCTCAGCTGACAGTCCAGGCCTGGGAGGGGGGGGGGCTGAGGTGGGGGGGGGGGGGGAGGGGGGCTGACTGTCCAGTGCAGGGCTGGGGGAGGGGGGGGGTGACTGTCCAGTGCAAGGGCTGGGGGAGGGGAGGGGGGGCTGACTGTCCAGTGCGGGGCTGGGGGAGGGGAGGGGGGGCTGACTGTCCAGTGCAGGGCTGGGGAGGGGAGGGGGGCTGACTGTCCAGTGCAGGGCTGGGGGTGAGGGGAAGGCGGGGGGCTGACAGTCCAGTGCAGGGCTGGGGAGGCGGGAGGGGGGGGGTGACTGTCCAGTGCAGGGCTGGGGGAGGGGAGGGGGGGCTGACTGTCCAGTGCAGGGCTGGGGGAGGGGGAGGGGGGGGGCTGACTGTCCCGACGTGTCTGAAGTCGGGACTGGGGGAGGGGAGGGGGGGCTGGAACTGGTCCAGATGCGAGGGCTGGGGGTAGGGGAAGGGGGGCGCTGGACTGTCCCCCAGTGGCGGGGCTGGGGGAGGGGATGTGGGGGGCTGACTGTCCCAGATGCAGGGCTGGGGTGACGGGGGAGGGGGGGCTGACTGTCCAGTGTAAAGGTCCTGAAGGGAGGGGAAGGGGGGGCTGTTTAACTGGTCCAGTGTAGGTCTGTGGGGGAGGGAGGGGGTGACTGTGCCCGGACATGTCCAGATTGAAGTACTATTAAAGTGGCCTCATTGAACGGCTTTTCTGGGCTCCGCAGCTCCACATTCATCAAATCTAATTGATTCCCAACCATTCCACCATTTATATCGTCACCCTCATTAAACTTTGTCCCCCATCACCCCAGCCCTCGCCAGGCTCCACTGACGTCCTGCCACACACACTAAACGCCGTACCCCCAACACGCCATCCTCACCTGGCCCCACTGTCTCCCCTATCACACACACTAAACTCCATACCACCATCAGCCCAGTCCTCACCAGGCACCACTGCCTCACTCTCACACACATTATACTCCATCCACAATCATCCCTGTCCTTCCCAGGCTCCACTGACTCCCTCTAAGACACACTAAACTCCATACCTCATCACGCCAGTCCTCGCCAGGCTCCACCGGCTCCTTATCACACACACTAATCTCCCTCCCAAACACCTCTGTCCTCACAAGGCTCCAATGGCTCTCTATCCCACATACTGGAGTGCCACACCCCCATCACACCAGTCCATGCAAGGCTCCAGTGAGTCCCTATCCCATAACCGATGAAACCGACTCACATATATGTACAACTGATTTCATGGTCTGGCTCCACCCTACCTCTCTGACTGCTTGTTCCACACTCCTCTAAGCACCCTCTTCCCTTAGCCAACTCTGGCCCACAGTTTGTCCTTCCCCTTCCTCAACAAGGGCAGTCGTTCCTCCAACCACTGTGCAATGAGAATCTAGAACTCACTCCCTCAAGTTCCCCCCACCTTTCCCCCTCCTTGGCCATCTTCAGATCACAACAGAAGACCTTCCTCTCTCACCATGCCGGCCACTCCCCTCAGCGCAGCATCAGGCTTCATCACTTCATCACACCCTGAGACACCGCCCTCTCCCCTGGAGATGACAGCCATTGTCTGTCAATACCTGTCTGTAGCCTTTGTTACAGACAGTGAGTGGGGAGAGTGGAGGCTCAAACACTGCCACATCGTACTGTTATTTGTTATGTTACAGAGAGTGTGAGACTGGTGAATGGAGGCAGTCGCTGTGCGGGGAGAGTGGAGGTTCACTACAGAGGCATTTGGGGCACAATAATTGGTTATTGGGTTTGGGATCTGCTGGATGCTGCGGTTGTTTGCCGACAGTTGGGCTGTGGGGCCGCTGTGGCAGCTCCAGAAAACGCGTTCTTTGGAAAAGGGACAGGACATGATATCACTTATGCTGTTCATTGCAATGGCACCGAGTCTGCTCTACAGGACTGTCCCTCAGAAGGATGGGAATGGTATAACACTGATCATTCCAGTGATGTCAGCGTCATCTGCTCAGGTAAACGTCTCTCCTCGTTCTCTGGGAGGGGAGGTTCGTGGGACTTCATAAAGCCAATGAGAGGATTTTCACTTCACAGCAGACTTGCCATTAAATGTTTGAAAGCCGCTGCAGCCGTGTTGCTCACAGCAATGTCCCCCAAACAGTCAGCACACCAGGGAAACTGCCTTCTATTCACCAGCAGTGGCACCATATCTTTTATGTGTGCCTGAAACATCAGGTGGTTGACATTATATAATAATATAAGATCTTTTGTTTATCAATCCTTCTAACTGATTAAAAATTTGATGTCAGCCTGTGGCTCAGTCACTGGGTGTCATCCTGGCTCATTCACTCTATGGCTGTTTGTGGGACATTGATCTGTACAAACTGGCTGCCACATCAAGATTCAGTCACTCTACTTTGCACTAAGATCCTGTGAAGCACTTTGTGATGTTTCCCTGATTTGGTACAAGCTACACCAAACATTACAATTGTTATAATGATTATTATTATCATAATTACTTGGAGGGAAAAGGATAGTAATTGAGGTGAAAGAGATGATACTTTGGAAGTAAAAGAATAAATATAGGTGTAAACTGAAGCTATTTGAATCAATATCAGGACTCACAGAGACAAGCAATTGAAAGACGTTCCATAATCTAATACACTGGGTGAGCTGGTTGGTGGGTGAATGACATTGTTTATTAAATATGAGTGTTGATTGTGTGTGTTATACAAATGTCAGGAGATAAAAAGCCGAGACTGGTGAACGGAAGCAGTCGGTGTGCGGGGAGAGTGGAGCTGTTCTCTGATGGTCAATGGCACACAGTGTGCGGAGCTGCCTGGAACAACCACACGGCTGATAACATGTGCAAAGAGTTGGGCTGTGGGTTTGCATTGTCAGTATCAGGAGATGCTCAGTTTGGAGAAGGTTCGGGGCCCGTCATCGGTCAGTCTGGCTGTGGGCACGAGACAGACGCTGGTGTTTTGTGTTCAGGTACAGACTCCTGTGTGTTGCCGTGTGAATCATAGAATAGAATCATAGAATAGTACAGCCCAAAAAGAAGCCATTCAACCCATCGAGTCTGTGGCGGCTCTTTGAAAAGAGAAATGTAATGTCAATCCCACTCCCCAGCCCTTTCCGCATAACCCTGCAGACCCATCCTCCTCAAATACTCGTCCACCGCGTTTTCAAATGTAGTTATCGATTTGGCCTCGACCGCCCTTTCAGGCACTAATTTGAATCTATTGTTCTATAGCAATTGTTTTACTCTTACAGGTGTAGGTCACTGTGCGAACTTCGCTGTGTGCAAATCAGCTGCCGTGTTCACCTGCAAAACACACAGTCTCTCCACTTTACAGTAACTCCTGTGAAGCCGTTGAGACCTCTCGGTGATATGAATGTGGCTGTGACAAATGTAAGAGTAAAACAATTGCTATAGAACAATTGATTAAAATTAGTGATGTGTTAGAGCATCTCCGGGTTAATGTAGTGCAGGTCAGAGTTTAATGGGATATTTGGGTTTAATATTAAACACACCGAGGGCCACAAGCTGTCACACAGCGGTCTCTCCTGACTGCAGCCCGAGACCATAGAGCGTAGGGCGGAAGGTACAACAAGAACATCTAATTTGTGGGGTGGGAGGAGCTGAATTTCATTCTGCTCAGAAGATCTTTCCTGGACACAGAATATTAAAACAAAAAAAATTGTAACGTTGTCCTGGAGGTTAGAATTCACAATTACATGTGGGTTACCAGATTCAAGATGACAGTTAAATCCAATTGATTCCACCATTTATATCGTTACCCGCATTAAACTCTCTACCCCATCACCCTAGGCCTCGCCAGGCTCCACTGGCTCCCTGTCACACACACTAAACTCTGTACCCATTCATCCCAGTCCTCACCAGGTACCACTGGTTCCCTATCACACACACTACTCTCCCTCCCCAATCAGCATCGTCTTCGCCAGACTTCATTGGCTCCCAATCAGAGACAATAAATTCCATACCTTGATCACTCCAATGCTCTTCAGTCTCCACTGACTCCCTGTCACACACACTGAACTCCCTAACCCCCATCACCCCAGACCCCACCAGACTCTACTGGCTCCCTATCACATACACTAAATTTAGTGCCCCCATCACACTAGTCCTTAACAGGCTCCATTGGCTCCCAGTTCCACAACGGTTGAACCTGACTCACACTGACATTACAACTCACTTCATATCCTGGTTCCTCCCTACCTCCCCGATCATCTTGCTCCACAATCCTCTAAACACCCCCTTCTCTTAACCAGCTCTGGCCCCCAGTATGCCGTCCCCCACTCCCACCACGCTCCACCATAGGCAGCTGTTCTTTCAACCACTACCCAGTGAGAGTCTAGACTCTCTCACTCAAGTACCCCCCACCTTGCCCCCTCCTTGGCCATCTTCAGATCACAACAGAAGACCTTCCTCTCTCACCATGCCAGCCTCTCTCCTCAGCGCAGCATCAGGCTTCATCACTTCATCACACCCCGAGACACCGCCCTCTCCCCTGGAGATGACAGCCATTGTCTGTCAATACCTGTCTGTAGCCTTTGTTACAGACAGTGAGTGGGGAGAGTGGAGGCTCAAACACTGCCACATCGTACTGTTATTTGTTATGTTACAGAGAGTGTGGAGCTGAGACTGGTGAATGGAGGCAGTCGGTGTGCGGGGAGAGTGGAGCTGTTCTCTGATGGTCAATGGCACACGGTGTGCGGAGCTGCCTGGAACATCCACACGGCTGATAACATGTGCAAAGAGTTGGGCTGTGGGTCTGCATTGTCAGTATCAGGAGATGCTCAGTTTGGAGAAGGTTCGGGGCCCGTCATCGGTCAGTCTGGCTGTGGGCACGAGACAGACGCTGGTGTTTTGTGTTCAGGTACAGACTCCTGTGTGTTGCTGTATGTAGGTCACAGCACATCGGTGTGTGCAAACCAACTGCTGTGTTCACCTGCAAAACACACAGTCTCTCCACTTTACAGTAACTCCCGTGAAGCCGTTGAGATCTCTCGGTGACAGAATGTGGCTGTGACAAATGTAATTGTAAAACGATTGCTATAGAACAATAGATTAATATTAGTGATGTGTCAGAACATCTCCGGGTTAATGTGGTGCAGGTAAGAGTTTGATGTGATGTTCCGGTTCAGTGTTAAACACACTGAGGGCCACAAGGTGTCACACAGCGGTCTCTCCTGACTGCAGCCAGAAACCACAGAGCATAGGACGGAAGGTACGACTGGTAACATCTAATCTGTGGGGTGGGAGGAGCTGAATTTCATTCTGCTGAGAAGATCATTCCTAGACATAGAATATTGAATCCCAAAAATGTGTAACATTTTCCTAGAGGTTAGAATTCACAATTACAAGCGGGATACCAGATTCAAGATGGCAGTCAAATCCAATTGATTCCAAACTCCACCATTTATATCCTCACCTACATTGAACACTATACCACCATCACCCCAGTCCTCGCCAGTCTCCACTGACCCCCTATAACTCACACTAAACTCTGTTCCCTCATCACCCCAGTCCTCACCAGGCTTCACTGGCTCCCTATCACACACATGAATCTCCCTCCACAATCACCTCCAACCTTGACAGGCTCCACTGTCTCCCTATCAGAGACACTAAGCTCCATACCGCCATCACACCAGTGCTCATCAGGCTCCACTTACTCCCTATCACACACACTAAACTCCCTCCTGAATCACCACTGTCCTCGCCAGGCTCCATTGGCTCCCAGTGCGATAACAGATGAATCTGACTCACGCTTACATTACAATGCACTTCATATCCTGGCTCCTCCCTACCTCTCTGAACTGCTTGCCCACACTCCTCTAACCACGACCTTCCCTTACCCAGCTCTGGCCCCCAGTACGCCTTCCCCCTTCCCCTATCACACTCCACCATAGGCAGCCGTTCTTTCAACCACTACCCAATCAGAATCTAGAAATCTCTCCCTCAAGTACCCCCCACTTTGCCCCCTCCTTGGCCATCTTCAGATCACCCCTGAAGACCTTCCTCTCTCACCATGCCAGCCACTCCCCTCAGCGCAGCATCAGGCTTCATCACTGTTACGTGCTCCGAGACACCGCCCTCTCCCCTGGAGATGACAGCCATTGTCTGTCAATACCTGTCTGTAGCCTTTGTTACAGACAGTGAGTGGGGAGAGTGGAGGCTCAAACACTGCCACATCGTACTGTTATTTGTTATGTTACAGAGAGTGTGGAGCTGAGACTGGTGAATGGAGGCAGTCGGTGTGCGGGGAGAGTGGAGCTGTTCTCTGATGGTCAATGGCACACGGTGTGTGGAGCTGCCTGGAACATCCACACGGCTGATAACATGTGCAAAGAGTTGGGCTGTGGGTCTGCATTGTCAGTATCAGGAGATGCTCAGTTTGGAGAAGGTTCGGGGCCCGTCATCGGTCAGTCTGGCTGTGGGCACGAGACAGACGGTGGTGTTTTGTGTTCAGGTACAGACTCCTGTGTGTTGCTGTGTGTAGGTCACTGTGCGCACATCGCTGTGTGCAAATCAGCTGCAAAACACACAGTCTCTCCACTTTACAGTAACTCCTGTGAAGCTGTTGAGACCTCTCGGTGATATGAATGTGACTGTGACAAATGTAAGAGTAAAACAATTGCTATAGAACAATAGATTAAAATTAGTGATGTGTTAGAACATCTCCGGGTTAATGTAGTGCAGGTTAGAGTTTGATGTGACGTTTGGGTTTAGTGTTAAACACACTGAGGGCCACAAGCTGTCACACAGCGGTCTCTCCTGACTGCAGCCGGAGACCACAGAGCGTAGGCCCAAAAGTACAACCGATAATATCTAATCTGTGGGGTGGGAGGAGGTGAATTTCATTCTGCTCAGAAGATCGTTCCTGGACATAGAATATTAAAACCAGCAAAAGTGTAACATTGTCCTAGAGTTTAGAATTCATAATTACAAGCGGGTTACCAGATTAAAGATGGCAGTCAAATCCAATTGATTCCAAACTTCACCATTTACATCCTCACCCGCACTAATCTCTGTACCTTATCACCCCAGTCCTCGCTCCACTGGATCCCTATCACACACACTAAACGCTGTACCTCCCATCACCCCAGTCCTTGATAGGCTCCACTGGATCCCTATTGCTCATACGAATCTCCCTCTCCAACCGCCTCTGTCCTTGCCAGGCTCCACTGGCTCCCTATCACACACACTAAACACCATTCACTCATCACCCCAGTCTTCACCAGGCTCCACTGGCTCCCTGTTCCACACACTGAGCTCCATACCCCATCCACCGCACTCCCTCTTAGGCTCCACTGGCTCCCTATCACACACACTAAACTCACTACCCGCATCACACCATTCCTTGCCAGGCTCGATTGGCTGCTGATCACACACACTAAACTCCCTACCCCATCATACCAGTCCACACCAGGCTCCATTGGCTTCCTGTCCTATAACCGATGAACCTGACTCACACTTACGTGCAACTCACTTCATGACCTGGCTCCTCCCTACCTCTCCGAACTGCTTGCTCCACACTCCTCTAACCACCCCCTTCCCTTAGCCAGGCTCTGGCCCCCAGCAGTTGTTTGCCATCAGCTGGGCTGAGGGGCCACTGTGGCAGCTCCAGAATACACGTTCTTTGGAACAGGGTCAGGAGTTGATATAATTTATTCAGTTTCCTGCAAAGGCACCGAGTCTGTTCTACAGCACTGTCCCTCAGCAACATGGGGAAGGTATAACGCTAATCATTCCAGTGATATCCACGTCTTCTGCACATGTAAACATTTAGCCTCGTTCTATCTATCCTGAAAAAGAGAAGAGAGTTTCTCTCTCCCGGTGTCCGGGCCAACAATCCCCCAAATAACACTGGATCATTCACTCATGGCTCTTTGTAGGACATTGCTGTGTGCAAACTGGATGCCACATTTGCTCTCAAGACGCAGTCACTCTACTGTAAGATTCTGTGAAGCAATTTGTGATTTTCCCCTGATTTGATACATGCTACACCAAATGTTATGATTATTATTATGATTATTGTTATTATTATTATTACTTGGGGGAAAAGGATAGTAATTGAGGTGAAAAGTAAAACATGTGAAGTAAAACAATACATTTAATGTAAATTCAAACTATTTGGAGTAAAATCAGGATATAAAGAGACAAGTGATTGAAAGATCTTCCATAATCTAATACATTGGTTGAGCTGTTTGGTGGGTGAATGACTTTGTTTATTTAAGTATCAGTGTTGATTGTGTGTGTTCTACAAATGTCAGGAGATAAAAAGCCGAGACTGGTGAACGGAAGCAGTCGGTGTGAGGGGAGAGTGGAGCTGTTCTCTGATGGTCAATGGCTCACGGTGTGCGGAGCTGCCTGGAACAACCACACGGCTGATAACATGTGCAAAGAGTTGGGCTGTGGGTCTGCATTGTCAGTATCAGGAGATGCTCAGTTTGGAGAAGGATCGGGACCTGTCATCGGTCAGTCTGGCTGTGGGCACGAGACAGACGGTGGTGTTTTGTGTTCAGGTACAGACTCCTGTGTGTTGCTGTGTGCAGGTCACTGTGTGCACATCTCTGTACCCCCATCACTCCTGTCCCTGCCAGGCTCCATTGGCTCCCTGTTCCAGACACTAAGCTCAGTACTCCCATCACACCAGTCCTCGCCAGGCTCCATTGGCTCCCTGTCCCATAATGGATGAACCTGACTCACACTTACGTTACAACTCACTTGATGGCCTGGCTCCTCCCTACCTCTCCGAACTGCTTGCTCCACACTCCTCTACCCACATACTTCCCTGAGCCAAGGGAGCTCTTTCTCCCAGCACAGCCATTACGGGCTGTAAGGTGCCTTTCATGTCGGGAGAACGTCATAAGGCACTGGACAGAGTTTCAGACCTGAGCTGGGGTTGGGGTTGGGGAGGGTGGAGAGCAGTGGGGGAAGCAGGGAGATCGAAAGCACGGCTGAAGAGGAGGATCTTGAGATGGGTCTTGAAGGAGGCAAGGAAGGGAGTGAGGGTGTGACTGCGGGATGGAGTTCCAGAGGTTGGAGCCGGGTGGCATAAGGCCTGCCCAGCAATAGTGTGAAATTCTGGGTTCAAGCGCTTGTCAGAAACCACTCCAAGGATATTATTAAAGCATTTTATTAGCAATTATAAAACCACACAAGCATAAGCAACACATTACACCCGACGCATTATCATTACCCGTCGTGCTTAAATGACTACTAAAGCACTATCTTAACAAGATACACTCAAGACTAAAATTCTAAACAAATATAAAAAAATTACGTGATATTTGAAATGAGCCTAAATCATCTCTAACTGTTTTGTATGGATTTTGGGTGTGTGTTTTAGTAAGAAGGAGAGATACTACCAAGCAGACAGGAAGTCGTGACTAAGGTCTAAGGCTGGTGAGCTGCTGGCTGCAAACGTCTAAGGCTGAATTTGTCCTCTTTGCAGTCCACTCTGGCGAGAGCTGGACTTATCTTCTTTTCTTCTACCCGCTTCTCTTCTCTTTCGCCTCAAACTAGTTATAGCTATCGATTTTATACCCTTTTTCATACCCCTTTTTCCTCGTTCCAACACTTTTCCCATGACTTCTTTCTCACACTCTCTGCACTTTCCCAGGCATTCTTTTCCTATCTCCAAGTTGTTTCTCCTTGTACCAGTTAGTAGTATCTTCTGTAAGAGAACACTACTCCTCTTATTCCATCTTATCCAGCCTGACCAAACCATCAGACTCCATGTCCCTGAAGTTTCGGTCCTTCTTTCTAACTCTGTCCATGTGACCTGCTGACTTTAAGTTTTCCCTCAGTTTTAATTACTAGTTTGTATCCCATCCATTCTCCTGGTCCAATTATCTCAGGTTCCTATCTCTCCTGTCCGCACTTGTAAGCGCAGATGGCCTACCAACCATCCTCTAGATCCAGCTATCTTTATCTTCCCTGGCCATGGGTCACATTCCAGTGTACTCGTAGCTCGGTGCCTCTTTACTCGGAATGTGTGTGTGTGTGTGTGTCACATGGCAGTTTTTATTTCTTTAATTCATTCTACTTAATTCATCTATTCACTACATGATCAATACTAATGATTCTTATGCTATAATCCCAACTATTTACAATAGTGGGGAGAGCAAGGCGGGGGATGTGAAGCAGGCGGGAGCCTGATAAGCGGAAGGAGCGAATTGGATGGTAGACGATTAGGAGTTCGCAGAGGTAGGGTGGAGCACGACCGAGGGCATTGAAAGTGAGGTCTAGGATCTTGAACTGTATTCTTTGTGCCATGGGAAGCCAGTGGAGTCGGGCGAGGATGGGGTCATGGAGCCTAGTGCAGGAGAGGACAAGGGCTGCAGAGTTCTGGATGATCTGCAGCCTGTGGAGGGAGGAGTTCCAGTATCTCAATCTACGCAATGAGACTCTAGAACTCACTCCCTCAAGTACCCCCCACCTTGCCCCCTCCTTGGCCATCTTCAGATCACCCCTGAAGACCTTCCTCTCTCACCATGCCAGCCACTCCCCTCAGCACAGCATCAGGCTTCATCACTGTTACGTGCTCCGAGACACCGCCCTCTCCCCTGGAGATGACAGCCATTGTCTGTCAATACCTGTCTGTAGCCTTTGTTACAGACAGTGAGTGGGGAGAGTGGAGGCTCAAACACTGCCACATCGTACTGTTATTTGTTATGTTACAGAGCATGTGGAGCTGAGACTGGTGAATGGAGGCAGTCGGTGTGCGGGGAGAGTGGAGGTTCATTACAGAGGAATTTGGGGCACAATAATTGGTCGGGGGGTTTGGGATCTGCTGGATGCTGCGGTTGTTTGCCGACAGTTGGGCTGTGGGGCCGCTGTGGCAGCTCCAGAAAATGCGTTCTTTGGAAAAGGGACAGGACATGATATCACTTATGATGTTCACTGCAATGGCACCGAGTCTGCTCTACAGGACTGTCGCTCTGCAACATGGGGAAAATATAAAACTGATCATTCCAGTGATGTCAGCGTCATCTGCTCAGGTAAACGTCTCTCCTCGTTCTCTGGGAGGGGAGGTTCATGGGACTTCATAAAGCCAATGAGAGGATTTTCACTTCACAGCAGACTTGCCATTAAATGTTTGAAAGCCGCTGCAGCCGTGTTGCTCACAGCAATGTCCCCCAAACAGTCAGCACACCAGGGAAACTGCCTTCTATTCACCAGCAGTGGCACCATATCTTTTATGTGTACCTGAGCCTTCAGACATTTGACATTATATAATCATATAAGATCTTTTGTTTATCAATCCTTCTAACTGATTAACAACTGATTTGATGTCAGCCTGTGACTCAGTTACTGGGTGTCATCCTGGCTCAGTTGGTTGCACTCACATCTCTCGGTCAGAAGGTTGTGGGTTCAAACCCCACGTCAACACTTCCAGTCCAGGCTGACGCTCCAGCCCCGCACTTGGTGCTGTTGCATTTTAGAAGTGCAGACCTTCAGCTGAGACGTTAGACTGAAGTCCCGTCTGCCTCTTCAGGTGGACGTAGAAACTCCATGGCTCTACTGAAAAAGAGAAGAGAGTTTCTCTCTCCCGGTGTCCTGGCCAACAATCCCCCAAATAAAATGGGTCATTCACTCCATGGCTGTTTGTGGGACATTGCTGTGTGTGAACTGACTGCAACATTTTGGCGCAAGATGCAGTTACACTACTTTGCAATAAGGTCCTGTGAAGCACTTTGCGATGTTACCCTGATTGATAGAGGCTGCACCAAATTTTATGATTATTGTTATTATTATTACTTGGGGTAAAACAATAGGATTTCTGGTGAGAGAGATGATATACGTGGGAAGGAAAAGGATAACTTTAGCGTAAATTCAAACTATTTGGAGTAAAGTCAGGATATAAAGAGACAAACAATTGAAAGATCTTCCATAATCTAATACACTGGGTGAGCTGGTTGGTGGGTGAATGACATTGTTTATTAAATATGAGTGTTGATTGTGTGTGTTATAGAAATGTCAGGAGATAATAAGCCCAGACTGGTGAATGGAGGCAGTCGGTGTGCGGGGAGAGTGGAGCTGTTCTCTGATGGTCAATGGCTCACGGTGTGTGGAGCTGCCTGGAACATCCACACGGCTGATAACATCTGCAAATTGTTGGGCTGTGGGTCTGCATTGTCAGTATCAGGAGATGCTCAGTTTGGAGAAGGTTCGGGGCCCGTCATCGGTCAGTCTGGCTGTGGGCACGAGACAGACGCTGGTGTTTTTTGTTCAGGTACAGACTCTTGTGTGTTGCTGTGTGCAGGTCGCTGTGCGCATATCTCTGTACCCCCATCTCTCCAGTCCTCGCCAGGGTCCATTGGCTCCCTATCACAGACACTAAACTCTGTTCCCTCATCACACCAGTCCTCGCAATTCCAATAGATCAATAGATTCAAATTAGTGATGTGATAGAATATCTCCGGGTTAATGTAGTGCAGGCAAGAGTTTGATGGGATATTTGGGTTTAGTGTGAAACAAAATGAGGGGCACAAGCTGTCACATAGCGGTCTCTCCTGACCGCAGCCAGAGGCAACAGAGCGAAGGCCCAAAGCTACAACTGGTAACATCTAATTGTGAGGAGCTAAATTTCATTCTGCTCAGAAGATCTTTCCTGGACATAGAATATTAAACAAAGTGTAACATTGTCCTAGAGTTTAAAATTCACAATTACAAGTGGGTCACCAGATTCAAGATGGCTGTCATTTGCTCTGGGCGACAACAGCAACTTGAATTAATACAATGCCTTATGAAGTTTTTGAGCTGCTCAGTGTGGGGGGGACACCAAGTGAGGGAGAGGGAGAGATGGCCATATGCACAGTCAATGAGGGAAGCTTTAAGGTGGGATTTAAAGGAGATTAAAATCAGGGAGCGAAGTGGAGAGGTAGTGTTTGTTCAGCCATTGATTATGTTATGGAGTGGGAGGGGGGGAGTGGAGCATGGAAGCTCACAGCGTGAGAGAGCAATAAACAGGCAAAGGGATGCTGTGCTGTATTGCTAAATTAGGTGTTCAGATCCCCAGACACCATTCTCAGGCTGTACAGATTCTGGTCTGACCACACCATGAACACTGCACAGTTCCGGTCCCTGTGTCACAAGGGGCTGCCCAGACTCTGGAGGCGGTACAGAGGGAAGCAATGAAGATGATTTAATTGAGGAATGAGCAATGAGCAAACGGCGGCTCTTCAGTCTTGAGAGAAGAGGACTCAGATGTGAACAACATTTTATATTGGATTGAAACCGTGACCCCAGAACATGGAGTGACCAATATAGCAGAACAAGAGGTCACAGGTTCAGAGGACAATTAAAGGACAATTTCAGGACAGACACAGAGGGTAATCAATAACTGAAACAGGTTACCAAGGAAGGGAGGTTGAGGCCAGGACACTGGGCTCATTTAAATCATAGCTTGATACTGTGCTGGGGTGACAGTGGGTCAGGGGCTGTGGAGAGATGAGATCAGATATCTTGTTCATACAAACCAAGCTTGTGATTGTGCTGTCAGCAAATTACTGCTTTATTTCCTGTGACTATAATTACAATAAGATTATTTGATCCATTTTGATGGAATGAGATACTGTAGAACTGCTGTTTCATATTACGTTCTCGTGTCCACAACAGCACATCGTCAGATAAGATTAACTGGTGGAACCAACCGCTGTTCTGGCAGAGTGGAGATACAGTTTGGTGATAGATGGGGAACCCTCTGTGGCCATTACTGGAGTTTACAAGAGGCCAATGTGGTTTGTGAGCAGCTACAGTGTGGGGCCGCTGTGACAGCAGAAGGTGGAGCTCACGTTGAGAATGGAAGTGAGATCATCTGGAAAAGCCACTATGAGTGTCGGGGGAATGAGTCACAGTTGTGGGACTGTCCCGTTTCGTCCTGGGATCAGTTTAACTGCTCACATGAGAACGATGTTAATGTCACCTGTTCCAGTGAGTACCAACATCTTACAGATCTTTCACATACAAATCCCTTCCTACACCAGAACCTCCCTATCCCTGACCCGCTTGAAGCTTACTCTTACTTGTCAGTGTGTCATCCTGGCACAGTGTTAGTGAGGGTTAGAATGTTTTTGCCCCATGTCAGGACATGGAATTACGTTGTCTAAGTTGATGATTCAGTACATCGCTTGGGGTGCGTTGCATTGTCAGAGATGCCATCTTTCAGGTGAGGAGTTCAACAGAGGTACTGTCTACCTGTTCAGGTGGACGTTAAAGATCTCAGTGCTTGTGGAACGGAGAATGGAGTTTCTCTCTCCTGGTATCCTGCCCGACAAATCCCCCAAATAAAATCAGTCACTTTCTACACCCCTCTTTGTGTGACATTGCTGTGCGCAACTGGCTACAACAACAACAACAAGGTTCCATTTATCGAGCGCCTTTTACGTCGGGAGGATGTACATTTCACCCACAAAATACACAGTTGCTGTACATTAGAGTATATCCTGTGAAGGGTTTTGAGATGTCTCAATGACGTGATGAGGAGCTTTACCAAAGACAAGGATTATTACTATTTTTCCTCCTGTTTTTGTGCAACCCCTCCTTCACCAACCTAATACTGGCTTCTGGGAGCAGCCCTTCCCCATTCCATCCCTCCGCTGGCCAGGCCTTCAGTTCCTCTGCCCCAAACCTCTGGAATTCCCTGCCACAATCCCTCTGCCTCACCCCTTCTTTAAATACCACCTTCAAATTTATCTTTTTGACTGCTTCCTGTGGTCACCTCTCCTTCCCTCTTTTCCGGTGCTTGGCACCCAACCCCGCCTCTGTGCCCTGTTCAGGCTGATGGCTCATGGCACTATTTGAAAACTGAAAGGAGTTTCTCTCTCCCAGTGTCCTGGCCGACAATCCCCCAGATACAATCAATCACTCAGTTCATGGCTGTCTGAGGGATGGCGCTGTGCTCAAATTTGGTGCCAAGTTTGCCTACAAATCCACAGTCACTTCACTTTACACTATATCCTGAGATGTCGGAGGATGTGTTAAGTCACAGTATTAAATGCAAATATATTATTATTGGAAATATTTGAGTGAAATCTTTTGCAGGAGAGGCTCTGTGTAAGTTTCTGTAGTTTTGTTCACTGTGAAATGCTCTTTATTGAAGTGAGGGTTGTGCTCTCCACAGGTGAAGACTGGCTGTTGAGGCTCAGCAATGGTGGCAGTCGCTGTGACGGCCGAGTGGAGGTTTACACCAACGGCACTTGGGGCAGAGTCCTGGCTGATGGCTGGGACTTGCACGACGCCAATGTGGTGTGCAGACAGCTGGACTGTGGCTCTGCCATGGCAGCCTATAACTCTTCTAGATACGGAGAAGGTGGAGGGACTGTGAGGCTCAACAATGTTCAGTGTGAAGGAGACGTGACACGTCTGAGCGAGTGTAATTCCTCCCGGCCGGCCACGACACTCAGTGTGGGCAGTGATGTGGGAGCGCTCTGTTCAGGTGACGTTCAAACAACAACTTATATCGTTCCCATCACATGCGGTAGAATTTCAGAGCAATTAACAGTGGCAAAGGCTGATGCCAATTTATGTAAACGATTCTGACCTAGAAATAGAGTGAAAATAAAGTTGAGGGATATGGGAGGAGGGATATAATCCACGATAGCCCTCGTGTGAAAGACGCTGTATCCAAATGCAATTATTATTAAAATTCATATGAACATACTGCAATTATAATCATATTAAAATGATTGACATCAGCAGTGGATTACCTGAGAGGTGTTCAGACCGGACACTGAACTCATTTAAGAAACGTATTGACGCTGTGTTGGAAGCCACCAGTGGTGGGAGTCCAGATGAGATGCAATGGGCTGAAGACCTTCTCGCCCACACGTGTCTGGCAATCTTGTCGCTGTCTGGCACTCTGACCGATTGCTGTTTGTACATTTCTCTGCCCACAGACCATGTGCAGTTGAGGCTGGTGGGGGGCAGGAGCCGCTGCTCGGGGAGGGTTGAGATCTACTACACTGGGAGCTGGGGGACGGTGTGTGATGACTCCTGGGATGCTCGAGAGGCTGCCGTGGTCTGCAGACAGCTGGGGTGTGGGGCAGCCATTAGCACCACACTCCCCGGCTCCTGTGGACGGGGCTCGGGGCCCATTTGGTTGGATGAGCTGAATTGTGCGGGAAATGAATCTGCTCTGTGGGAGTGTCCCTCAGCTCCGTGGGGAGAGCACAACTGTCTTCATAAAGAGGACGTCAGCATCGTCTGTTCAGGTAAGAGATTGAACCTCTGGCACTAACACACATTTGTTTAGTTAGAATCATAGAATCATAGAATTATAAAGCACAGAAGGAGGCCATTCCGCCCATGGAGTGACTGTGTGTTTGTTGGCAAATATGGCAGCACAGTTACACACAGCAGTGTCCCACAAACAGCCACAAAACAAGTGACCAATTTTATTTGGGGGATGATGGCCAGGAACTGGGGCAACAACAACAACAACAACTTGCATTTATATAGCGCCCTCCACGCCGGGCGGTGTCCCAGAGCGATTAAGATTCGAATAAAGAGAAGGGAGTTTCTCTCCCGGTGCTTTGGCCAACAGTACTCTCAAAAAAAATAATGATTTGGTCACTCAATCCACGACTGTTTGTGCGACGCTGCTGTGCGCAATTGTCTGCTTTGGTTCGCCCACAAAATACACAGTCACTACACTTTACAGCATATTCTGTGACGCGTTTTAAGACATTTCAATGACTTGATGAGGCGCTATAGCAAATGCAAGAATGATAGGATTATTATAATTCCCCAAATAAAATTGGTCACTCATGGATTTTACAGTGAATCCTGTGAAGCGCTCTGGGACGCCCTCCTGATGTGATAGACGCGATAACACAGGAACGATTATTGTCGGGAAATTTACAGGAAAATAGTTTTTCTTTTGGTCAAATTTGGAAACCCATAAACTTGATTTGGTAACTGTCAACTTGTCAACTCCAACTCTTCCCTCCACAAGATGCAGATTATTCAGAACTCTGCAACTCGTGTCCTCTCCCGCACTCAGCTCAATGAGCCCATCACCCCCCATCCTCGCTCGGCTTCACCCACCCTGCCCACCCCACCACCCCCACCCTGCCCACCGCTGGCCCACCATCCCCCACCCTGCCCATCCCATCACCCCCACCACCCCCCACCCTGCCCACACCACCATCAGCGATTCGGCCTTTCTGCCCCAAACCTCTGGAATTCCGCCCCGGAGCCCCTCTGCCTTGCCCCTCCCTTACCTCCTTCCAGGCCTGTGTCCAGACCTTCGTCTTTATCCTCTCCTTTTGTCACCTTCCCACCTGCACCCTACTGCCATCCACCGCTTTTGACTCCAACCCCCAGCTCGGATGCAAACCCTTCCCTGTCCAGCACCTTGGGATGTCCTGAGGTGTAAGGTGCTATTTCAGTGCAACTTGTTGTTGATTATGAGTATTTACTGTGGCTTCACAGAGCACAAGGAGCTGAGGCTGGTGAATGGGAAGCATCCGTGTGAGGGGAGAGTGGAGGTGCTTTACAATGGGACCTGGGGCACGGTTTGCTCAGACTCTCTGGACCGGAGAAATGCTCAGGTGATCTGTAAGCAGCTCAACTGTGGACCACTTCAGTCTGTTAAATACCAACAGGAGTTTGACCAGGGATCTGGACCTATTTGGCTGCACGACATGGAGTGTACTTCACATGAGGACTTCCTGTGGCAGTGCTCCTCCGCACCTTGGGGTCAAAACAACTGTAATCATGAGGAAGATGCAGGTGTCGTCTGTTCAGGTAACAAAATATGATTCAATCTTTCATCAATGAGATGTTTGAACAACTTCTGCCAATAAATATGTATTATTTCCAGATGTGAAAGTCGGGGAGAGGATGGAGAGTCCACAACCCTGCGCTGGCCCCGGCCCGAAATACCACCGATTAGCAGGTACCTGATTTACTTTATTATGACGTCTCCGTCCCTCTCCCTCCCTCCCTCCCTCCGCCCCTTTTCCCTCCCTCCCTCTCCCTCCCTCTCCCTCCCTCCCTCCCTCCCTCCGCCCCTTTTCCCTCCCTCCGCCCCTTTTCCCTCCCTCCCTCCCTCCCTCCCTCCCTCCAACTCTCCGTCTCGCCCCTTTCTCCACCTTAAAACATTACATTAAAACCTTAAGTGCCTCTGGTCACCTCATCGCTTGCCATTGAAACACCGTCTGGCAATCTTCCCGCTGCTTGTCCAGCAACGACCCTCTGTTCCATCAAGGCTTTGGTTTGCAGTGTTAACAGGAGCCGAGTGGGAAGAATCCCTGCCCCCAGTGACTGACATTAGATATTATTCCACTACCCTCTGGAACTCCCTCCCTCCACCTCTCCGTCTCACCCCCTTCTCCACCTTCAAACACAACCTTAAAACCTGCCTTTGAAGCGCTGCCTCTGGTCACCTCTCCGTCCAATTCCCCCCTTTGCTCAGCGTCCAACCCCCGTGTGTGTAAAGCTGTGTGAGATGTGCCGCTCTGTGCTGCGCTCTGTACGAACACAAGTCATGGTGTCAGTCAGTCACACAGTCATGTTGATGTCTTCAGGACAGGGGTTACGGTTGGTCGGTGGGAGCAGTAATTGCTCGGGGAGAGTTGAGATCTTGTACAATGGCACGTGGGGGACGGTGTGTGATGACTCCTGGGACCTGCGGGACGCCAACGTGGTCTGTAGATATCTCCAGTGCGGCCCGGCGCTCCGGGCTGTGCGAGAGGCGGGCTCCGGGCAGGGCTCCGGACCTGTGTGGTTGGATGAGGTGCAGTGTCTGGGAGGCGAATCCTCGCTGTGGGACTGTGTCTCCTCATCCGCTCCCCACAGTGACTGCACTCACAAAGAAGACGCCGCGGTGACCTGTTCCGGTAGGTTCCCGTTTCCCCCTCAAGACAACGTGTTTTACAGTAAAGTCACTATCAATTCTGGGGCCACTTTACACACAAAATAATTACAATCTTCACATTCCATACCAAGCCTCAGCACCTCATCCAACTGTCTCAAAGTGCTTCACAGGGTGATCTGTACAGTGCTGTGTGACTGTGTACAGTGCTGTGTGACTGTGTACAGTGCTGTGTGACTGCGTACAGTGCTGTGTGACTGTGTACAGTGCTGTGTGACTGCGTACAGTGCTGTGACGTTCAGTGTGTGACTGTGTACAGTGCAGTGACTGTGTGCAGTGTAGTGACTGTGTACAGTGTAGTGACTGTGTACAGTGTAGTGACTGTGTGCAGTGTAGTGACTGTGTACAGTGTAGTGACTGTGTACAGTGTAGTGACTGTGTACAGTGTAGTGACTGTTTAGTACAGTCACTGTGTACAGTGTAGTGACTGTGTACAGTGTAGTGACTGTGTACAGTGTAGTGACTGTGTACAGTGTAGTGACAGTGTAGTGACTGTGTACAGTGTAGTGACTGTGTACAGTGTAGTGACTGTGTACAGTGTAGTGACTGTGTACAGTGTAGTGACTGTGTACAGTGTAGTGACTGTGTACAGTGTAGTGACTGTGTTTAGTGACTGTGTACAGTGTAGTGACTGTGTTTAGTGACTGTGTACAGTGTAGTGACTGTGTACAGTGTAGTGACTGTGTTTAGTGACTGTGTACAGTGTAGTGACTGTGTAGTGACTGTGTACAGTGTAGTGACTGTGTATAGTGCAGTGTTTAGTGACTGTGTACAGTGTAGTGACTGTGTTAGTGACTGTGTACAGTGTAGTGACTGTGTTTAGTGACTGTGTACAGTGTAGTGACTGTGTACAGTGTAGTGACTGTGTACAGTGTAGTGACTGTGTACAGTGTAGTGACTGTGTACAGTGTAGTGACTGTGTACAGTGCTGTGTGACTGTGTACAGTGCTGTGTGACTGTGTACAGTGCTGTATGACTGCGTACAGTGCGGTGTGTCGGTGTACAGTGCTGTGTGACTGCGTACAGTGCTGTGTGATGGTGTACAGTGCTGTGTGACGGTGTACAGTTCTGTGTGATGGTGTACAGTTCTGTATGAGTGCGTACAGTGGTGTGTGGCTGTGTACAGTGCTGTGTGACTGCGTACAGTGCTGTGTGACTGCGTACAGTGCTGTGTGACTGTGTACAGTGCTGTGTGACGGTGTACAGTGGTGTGTGACTGTGTACAGTGCTGTGTGACGGTGTACAGTGCTGTGTGACGGTGTACAGTGCTGTATGACTGTGTACAGTGCTGTGTGACTGTGCACAGTGCTGTGTGACGGTGTACAGTGCTGTGTGACGGTGTACAGTGCTGTGTGACGGTGTACAGTGCTGTGTGACGTGTACAGTGCTGTGTGACTGTGTACAGTGGTGTGTGACTGTGTACAGTGCTGTGTGACTGTGTACAGTGCTGTATGACTGTGTACAGTGCTGTGTGACTGTGTACAGTGCTGTGTGACTGTGTACAGTGCTGTGTCCATACTCACCTGCACTAAACTCCGTACCCCATCACACCAGTCCTTGCCGGGATCCACCGGCTCCCTATCACGCACAGTAAACTCCGTACCCCATCACACCAGTCCTTGTCGGGGCTGCACTGACCCTATCACCAAACAGATAACTTTCAAGGCCCTAACACTCGTTTTCAAATCCCTTCGTGCCCGGCACCTCACCTCCTCTCCGACCTGATTACTCCCCGAACCACAACCCTCTGCCTCCACTCGACTGGCTCCGGCCTTCTCCATGTCTCTCGTGCCCTCCTTCCCACCATTGGTGGCCGCACTTTCAGCCACTGCGCCCCCAAACTCTGGAACACTGTTCCTCTATCCCTCCGCCTTGCCCCTTCCTTCCCCATATTCACATCCTGCCTGAAGTCCTTCCTGTTCAGCAGTGCCTATGGTCACTTCGCGCCTCTTCCTGGTTCAGCAACATGTTCCGCCACTGTCAAGCGTTCTGGGACGCTATCCTGCGTGAGGGGCACTATATATATATGCAAGTTGTTGTTGTTGTGTCTGTTTAATGTGGTGAGTGACAGTGTATGTTGTGGACATAAGCAGAAGCCAATTTGCAGACATCTGTGGAGTTAGTGACCAACTCTGAGAGAACCTCATTGAGGTGTAAACATTTCAAATGGGATTCAAAATGTACAGTCACATACGGAGTATCTGTAAAGCTCATTGGGACTCCCTCCCAATGTGAGACACTGCACCAAATGTCAGGACTATTGTTGTTGTTTTATTGCGATTTTGTGACTGTTATGTTTTGTGTCACAAAGGGCACCGAGTGCGGAGAGGGCAGGTGATGTCCACACTTGATGCCGTGTGTGTAACGCTGGGAACGCTGCTGGCCCTCGTGCTGATGGCACTCGCTGTACAAATCAAACACAATGTGCCCAGAGGAGGTGAGAGCCCGACACGTGCCCTGGAGTCAGGCGGAGCCGTGTGGGGAGTGAACTGTATCAGTTAGAGAATCGGTGACAAGGGACAGTCACGGCACTGTTAGCAGAACAACAGCGGAGACTTTAGAGGAGATTTCTTCACTCACAGGATTGTTAGTGTCTGGAATTCTTTCCCATGTGGTATTGAGGCTGATCCACAAGATCACACAATGGTTTCGATGAAGAAGGCTCTTTGCCTCTTCCGATCTCATCTCTCCAGAACACCCACCCGAACATCAACCCCCACCCCCCCACCAACCCCCACCTCCATCACCACATGGAGCTGCTTTTAACACAGGATACTCTTTGTGTTAGTCAAATAGAAATTGCCATTTCCTGTCGCGAGTATGTTCCAAGATGTTTGACTTTTGTGGCTTGGCCCCTGAGCTGGGGTTGGGTCCATGGGCGGGTGAGCCGGGGAAACATGATCAAAGTCATAGTCAAAGAGGAAGGTCTTGAGATGGGACTTTAAAGAGGTGAGGGAGGGCCCGAGTCTGAGGGATTCCAGGATGGAGTTCCAAATAGTGTGGGCAGATCGGCTGAAAGCCGGACCGCCAATGGTGAGGCGGGCAGGGCAGGGGATGTGAAGCAGACCAGTGCCCACTGAGCAGGAGTGGGCAGGATGGCAATGATTAAGGAGGTCACAGAAGTAGAGTGGAGCAAGACATTGGAGGGCTTTAAAGTGAGTACAAGGATCTTAAACTCGATCTTCTGGGGGATTGGAGTCAGTGGGTACAGATGAATGTGGGGGATGAGAGTGGGGGGAGATGTGGGGGATGGAGCCCAGTGGGAGAGAGTTCTGGATAGTAATGACTGGATGTGTTTGTATTTATATAGTGCGCTTCACATAGGATAGTGTCTCGGCTAAAACATTAAGAGATGTGGGGCAGAGCCGGGACTTCAGACTCATGATAAAAACACAGAAATCCACAGGTAACAGATACAGGGGGTTATGGCCTCCTGGGAATGTGGGATCTTCTGCCCCAACATTGGTTGAGGCAGATTCTGTGCTGCTTTTGATGGGAATTAAAATCCAGTAGTTACCCCAACCCACATGTCTTCGGTCCTGCGCCTAATACACTGTAGAATTTGGTAAGTGGGTCATCGCTCCAGTGAGAGACAACACATTTCATTCCAATAAATATCTCAGGAATTTCCAAGTGTAGTTGGGATACATGGAGTTCTCGATTTCGTTTGGATGCTCTTGCGCATAGTGACTGGGTTTCCGCATGTGTCAGACGCCCGGGTGACCAAAAAATATTCCCCATAAGGGAACAGCCCAAGTGCTTTGAGAATGTTCTTACATGAGGTGCTGTAAAATACCAGGATTATTCTTTATGATTCCAGGGACTAAAGGCCGAAGATATGTGTCTCTTGGTTCACATCAAGGACTTTACGCAGAAATCGATGACCACCTGCCCAGGAGAGGCTCCCGTCAGCCACGACCTTCATGTGGGTATTTTACAAACTGTGTTTGACATAACGGAGGAGGGAAAATTGTGATGTTTCCAATCGCATTGTGTAAAAATAGTGACATTGAGTGTGTTCTGTCCCTGTGGACCTCAGTGACCGATGACGCTGCTGTCAGGTGTCACACACTTTGTTTGGCGAAAGAAGTTTAATCCCAAACTGAGCATTAAGTGCATCACAAAAACAGGTGCATTTTCTGTCTTGTGTAAATTCGCACATCGATGGCCTGAACTTCTGGGACCCAAAGGCTGATAGAGTTAATGTCAGTTTGATGGGTATTTTAGTCAGGGTTCAGTATTCAGTGAGAGGAGAACATCTTCACTAAAAACTGGCAGCGAGTGAGGAACCACAGACATCACATCTAAACCTTGATCCGCAATCTAAACATATTTATTATTACTAATGTTCTGTACAGATATCTCTCACACAGAATAATAATTATTATTAATATTCTCTGCTCTGATATCTCACACACACTGAATATTTAATATTATTAACATTCTCTGCTCTGATATCATTCACTGATTATTTAATCTTATCAATGTTTTGTGCTCTGATATTTGATGAAATTCCCCTCTAACCTGGTAATGAACGGTGTGTGTTTCTTTTGGACAGTGTCTGGACCCAACAATTCTCTGTGGAAGCTGGAATATTACACAGGTAAAAGGTTAAAAACAGAAACACACACTTGTTTGTCTGCAGTGAAGAGAGAGAGAGAGAGAACAATATTTTCAGCATTTTATCAGGTCTCAGTGCCGTCTGACAGCACTTTACAGCGATCGCTGCTGTGTGACGGTCTCCTGTGGGCAAACACAGTGAGGTGCTGAGCACAGGCAGAGGGTGAAGGAACATTAATGTGGGGGATGTTGGCCCCGGACACTGGGAGAAACATTCTTCTCTTTTCCCGTAGCTTCACAGGATGTTTCCCGCACTCCTGCACAGGCAGACAGTGATTCCCCATTAAAACACAGACCATCCACTTGGGGTCTGAAAGGGCTGAGGCCCAAACCTGTCATTATACACAGCGACAACGACAGGTTATAGTGTAGAGTCCTGCACTTGGGTTAGAGCCCTCCCCGAGCAGCGAGAGACCACAGCCCCATTCCCGGGCAGGTCAACACCTCAGGCAAGTTTCCTTACTCCACACTCCAACGAGGAACCCGGTTGTTCGTGGATTGGAGGATCGCTTTCCGGCGGTAAAAATCCCTTCAATGAATGAATGAATGAATCAATCAGTTGATCAGTGAGTGAGTGAGTGAATCAGAAAGTAAATAAACAGATTATTTAATGAATGAATTGACCATCGAATCCACGGCTTTGTGGCTTTGTGGCGGTTTGTGGCTTTGTGGCTTTGTGGCTTTGTGGCGGTTTGTGGCTTTGTGGCTTTGTGGCTTTGTGGCTTTGTGGCTTTGTTGCGTTTTGTGGCTTTGTGGCGGTTTGTGGCTTTGGCGTTTGTGGCGGTTTGTGGCTTTGTGGCTTTGTGGCGGTTTGTGGCTTTGTGGCGGTTTGTGGCTTTGTGGCTTTGTGGCGCTTTGTGGCTTTGTGGCGGTTTGTGGCTTTGTGGCTTTGTGGTTTGTGGCGTTTGTGGCGGTTTGTGGCTTTGTGGCTTTGTGGCGGTTTGTGGCTTTGTGGCGGTTTGTGGCTTTGTGGCGGTTTGTGGCTTTGTTTTACAAAGATTTAGAAAAATTTACAAAGAAAGTACAGCACAGAAACAGGCCACTCAGATCAACCAGTCCGTGCCGGTGTTTATAACCACTTGGGTCTTTACTCCCTCCCATAGCCTCTATTCCTCTCTCTCTCACGTGAAGGTCTATCTTCCTCGTGAATGCAGCGAATAAAATCATCGATTCAGGCAACAACTCCTGCCCTCTGTGTGAAGCAGTTTCTTCTCCTTGCCCTCTGCGGGGCAATCTCCCTCAATCTCTCTGCCCTCTGCGTGAAGCAGTTCCTTCTAATTTTTATTTTTTTATCCCATCGTCACTGTCCCTGGTTACTGACTCCCCCAAAACAGCCCCAAATTGGCACAACCCTCACGACAGGATAGATCCCCAACTGTCGTTCCTACCCCACATCCCTGACCACAATCACTCGACTTCACGTCCACCCGTTGCCCACCTCAGACCCTGTCTCACACTCAACAGCTGAAACCCTCGTTGATTGACGGATTGATTTCAAAGTCCTCAATCTCACTCACAAATGAGTTTGGGTCCCAGCACCTCCTCAGGTCCCTACTTCTCTGACCTGCTTACACCACACAGCTCTAAGCCCTTTCACTCAGCTGCCTTGCCTTCGGCATGTCCCTTGCCCGCTTTGCTCTGCCATCGATGACTGGGGTTTCAGCCGCTACTCATCTCAAACTCTGGAACTCTCTGCCTCAATCCCACGACTGTGTTCCTCTAAGGTGACAGAGACATAGCGCATTTGGGGATTGAAGAGGAAAGGAGATCAGTATATGAAGGATAGAGCCTCGAAAAGGTATGAGGGTAACAAGAGCAGCAAAGCTCAATGCACACCTTCATCTGTCAGTCCGTGCAGACTCGATGGGCCGAATGGACTCCTTTGTGTTATACATTTCTCTGATTCTGTTATACCTTCTCTGAATTTGAATGGTTTCAAAGCTGCCATAAGATATGTGGCTCTTAAACCAGGTTTTAGGAAAGGAACTGATTAAGTGTGAGTCTGGCTGACATGTCACACTGAGCCACATTGTACAGCAAAAGCTCCATACATCGAATCATTCCTTGTGAAACAGATTTCTTTTTTAAAAATCCTGATATTGGTGTTTTCTGGTCTTCCACATCCCTATTATACATAGAGAAGAGGCCTTAGAGTTCCAAAGCACAGTAGCAATAATGGGCAATGTGTTTTAACATAACGAGGGTTTATTTATATAATTCAGTGGTTAATTTTGCTTATTATGGATGATAAATAATTACACAAATTTATAAAATTGTTATTCGCCATTTCTTGGTTTACATATTTCATCTGATTTTTGAAACACTGTCGAAGTTAACAAATTCAAAAATCATCACCGTTCCTCTTGGAATATTACGCAGTGGTTTCCTCAGTACCAGACTGCTATTTGCTGAGGTATTGTGCACTTGGTATATGTGAGAAGATAATAATAATAATCCTTCATTTAATAATTGGTATCAAGATGACATTTCAGAAGATCACTGGATTCTGCATTTTACAGGATGATAAAAATCCAAGAGAGGTCGGAACGTTAGGCCCCAATTTGCTACTGCAAATAATGTATTGATTCAATAACGTTTACTGAATTATTAAAGGTGAGGCTATTCGACATACGTGAATGAGATGTGCAAGTATTCTGGGATAGTCACTGAGTTCGAAAGCAATTGAAACAATTTGAAGAAAACGCTGCTGAACATCACACAGAATTACATTTCTAATCAAACACTTTAATGCAAATGAATAATTCCCGTTGAATAATCAATAATCCTTTGAGGATGTCCCTCAGCACTTTACAGGATTTACTGCAAAATGCACGAACTATATTTTGTGTACGAACATATTAGAAACAAATTAAAGACAACACAACAGAATATGATATAGCTTCACACTTTTTACCTCACAATTTCTATTGATATAAATTATTTTTTCTGTGCTGATTGTTTCTCACAGTTAATTTGCTGGCGATTGTGATCCTGTCAAGAGGAAAGTGCGGACTCTCCAAGTACATCACTCAGTACTTGATAGCCATGACAGTGGCTGATCTCCTGGTTGTCCTTGTGGATGTTTTGTTGACCAAAATTAACAATCTGTATTTCCCATTAACTATCTTATTCTACACTCCAGTGTGTAGTGTTAAAGCTGTGCTGCTGACTGCAACTCTCCACAGCTCTTTGTGGTTCACTGTCGCTTTCACTTTCGATCGTTTTGTGGCCATTTGCTGCCAAAAGCTGAAACCAACATATTGTACGGAGAGAACGGCCACAGTGGTTATTGTAACTCTGTCTGTTTTCAGCTGCTCAGTGAACATTCCCTGGTACTTTACAACTGATCCTTACATTATACTTAATGATACGCCGTGGTACTGTGTCTTCAAACCAAGCTTTTATACCTCGGCCCCCTGGAAAGCGTTTGAAAGGCTTCACCGTGTTGTTGCTCCCATGTTTGGTTTTGCTTTGATTTGCCTGTTCAATGCTCTGATTATCCGGCACATTCTGATGGCCAGTAAAGTCCGCAGGAGGCTTCGCGGTCAGAGAAATGCTGAGAAAACTATTGATCCCGAGTTAGAAAGCAGAAAAAAATCCGTTATTTTACTCTTCGCCATATCGGGCAGTTTTATACTGTTGTGGATAACGCAAATCATATTTTCTTTGAAATGGCAACTTTCCAATTATAATTACAGCAAAACATTGGTCAGTAACACGCGGTTTATCGTCCAAGAAACCGGAGTCATGCTTCAAAGGTTGAGTTGCTGTACCAACACCTGTATTTACGCATTGACTCAGACTAAGTTCAGAGACGAGCTTAAGAGAGGGTTAGTTTATCCATTTCGTATTATTGCCGAATTAATGATAAAACATCGTAAACGCAGGTAAGAAAGAAGTTGGCTTCACACACTGTTGAACTTCAGGGACATTGGTGAATGTCTCCACAAGCAGAGACGCCTTCCAACATCATGAGCAGATATCAATAAAGCATCGTTTCCTTCCAAATCTTGTGACTATCTGTAAAGTTAAACTCCTGCCCCCGAAACATTGAAGTGAATGTCCTTTGACTTGATGAAGGAATGTTTGATTTTGGTTCAGGTGTGTGGAGTAAAGGAAAATACCCAATGTTTCGCTCTGCCCGGGAATCAAACCCATGTCCTCTCGCTTACGAGTCAAGCGCTCTAACCACTGAGCTACAGGACTCCACATTCTGCTGGTAATAAACGGGGAGAGAAGGTGCCTTTTGCCCTATAATATATAGTGAAGTGATGTGAGCCTCGACAGCGGAGGCCACGACCGGTGTCAGTGGGGACACACCGGCTCTCATTTCTCACCGTGCAATTCTGTTATACTCTCCAGCAGCGACACACCTGGTGACAGCCTGACATGTGCACAACAGCCACGTGTGTGTGAGGTCCTGCAGGAGATGGTGGTTCCCCAACACGTGGTCAGGAGAGAAGGGCACAAACTGTCAGACCGGTGTCTTCACTGTGAGTCACTGGTGTTGGATCAAGTGGATGTACTGTCCACATCAAACTACTACTGTTGTTTCCTTCACTTCCCAAAGCATCTTCTCATGTGGGCGGTGAACAGCACCGACTCCGGTAAAGCTTTCCCACTGCAACGGCATCTTTCACAGCATTTGTGATCTTTCAGACTGACTCTCCAGTGGCAGCACTGAGGTTTAGCACCGCATTGACCTTAAAATGACCATAACCTGCCCAACCCGCCCAACCCGCCACCATAACCCTCCCAACCCGCCCAACCCGCCACCATAACCCGCCCAACCCGCCCAACCCGCCACCATAACCCTCCCAACCCGCCCAACCCGCCACCATAACCCGCCCAACCCGCCCAACCCGCCACCATAACCCGCCCAACCCGCCACCATAACCCGCCCAACCCGCCCAACCCGCCACCATAACCCGCCCAACCCGCCCAACCCGCCACCATAACCCGCCCAACCCGCCCAACCCGCCACCATAACCCGCGCAACCCACCTATCCCTCTCCCCCCACCGGTCGCTCTTAGTCTCAGTGCATTTTTGCTGCCGTCACCGACAAGAGCTGTTACCCCAAAATGCTCCCACCCCCGTCCCCACCTCTGTGACCTCCTCACCCCCCACCAACCCGTCCGCTCCCTCTGCTCAGTGGCCTCCGGCCCCCGCCTCGCCAGCCTTCAGCCTCTCTGCCCCCACCCTTTGGAACTCCATCCGACTCCCACTCCGCCTCACCCCCTCCTGTGCCTCTTTCAAGACCTGTCTCAAGACCCTCCTCCTGGACCGAGCCCCCACCCTCCGCGCCCTCCACCCCTCCTGATCCCAACCACCTGCCCGGGTGCGGATCCCTGACTGTCGGGCGCCTCGGACGTCCTCCTGACGTGAAAGGCGCTTTACAAATCTAATTTGTTATTGTTGTGTTTCTCACAATATCTGTGTCCCCGCACTTTCCGCCCCACCATTGGGTCGGACATTCAGCATCTCCGCCCCCACCCTGGAACTCCATCCCCAAATCCCTCCACCTCACCCCCTCTCTCACCTCCTTCAGGTCGCGTCTAAAGACCTTCCTCTTCGACCGTGACTTCAGCCCCAACTCCTGTCCTCCACCCCCAACCCCCAGCCCTCCACCCCCAACCCCAGCCCTCCACCCCAACCCCCTGCCCTCCACCCCCAACCCTCTGCTCTTCACCCCCAACCCCAGCCCTCCCCCAACCCCAGCCCTCCACCCCAACCCCCTGCCCTCACCCCCAACCACCTGCCCTCCACCCCCGACACCCTGCCCTCCAACCCCAACCCCCTGCCCTCCACCCCAAAACCCCTGTGCTTCACCCCAACTCCCAGCCGTTCACCCCTCCTGACCCCAATATCCAACTCAGGTCCAGTAACCCCTGACTGTCCAGTGCCCTGGAACGTCTTTCTGACATGAAGAGCGCTTTACAATTGTCTGTAAAGTGTTGTTGTTGTTGTTGTTGTGTGTCCCAATATCTGTGTGTGTGTGGGAGGGGGTGGAGGGCCTTTTACACGGTTGGTGTGGAATGAGGAATTATCCCCTACAAACTGCAGTTGAGGCTGCGGCCGTTGATGGTTTATAAAAGAGAATGAGGCGGATGATGGATGAGGGAATATTAAAGGCTTCTGGGCAGTGATCGCGGGAGAGACGAGGGCAGACATTTCCTGAGGTTGTGGGCGGTTGCCATCAAACCCACACTGCCCGGCGGTGCTGCTCGTGTGCAGCTGTTCCCAACCGTTCACTCTGTCATTTGGAGCAAAGTGGTTGGTTTCGAGGCCTATGTTGTGGCCGTGAGCTGATGCCCCAGTGCAGGCGGGGGAGCAGCGCCGTGTTGGGGAGGCCGACCTGTGGATGGGATGGTGACCTGAGGTCCTGTCTGACAGCTCCAGGAGATGTCAGAGATCCCAACACATACACCACACTGAGGACACTGAGGAAATAACCTGAGGCTTGTGGTTGGTAAGAAATCTGGAGACTGCGGTCTTTATTCAATGCTGCATTTTTGATAACTTTAAACTATTTAAATGAGAAAAGCCATTGTGCGGTACAGGGGGCACTGTGTGTGCTAATAACTAAAGGGGTGACGCTGTGGGGTGTGAATGGGGTGTGGGGTGTGTACTAGTTATGGTGAGTGTGTGTTATTCACGAGGGTTGTGTGGTATTAATGTGGCAAATATGCTTTATAGCATTAAATATACATAGGAATTGTGGGGTATTAATGGGTGTGGGGTATCAATGGAGTTGTGGTAAGAATGGAGTTTGTGGTATCAATGGAGTTTGTGTGGGGTATCAATGGAGTTTGTGGTAAGAATGGAGTTTGTGGTATCAATGGAGTTTGTGCTATTAATGTGGTGTGTGGAGTACTAATGGGGAGTGTGGGGTATTAATGGGGTGTCGGGTATCAATGGAGTTTGTGGTGTCAATGGAGTTTGTGGTATCAATGTGGTGTGTGGAGCATTAATGGGGTGTGTGGGGTATTATGGGGTGTGGGGTATTTTTGTGAATGGAGTGTGAGTTATTAATGGGGTTTCGGGTATTAATGGGTTGTTTGATGTAATAATGGGGTGTGGGGTATTAAGGGGGTGTGGGTATTAATGAGGTGTGGGATATGAATTGGGTGTGGGGTATTATTGGAGTGTGGGCTATGAATGGGTTTGATGTAATAATGGGATGTGGGGTATTAATGGGTTGTTTGATGTAATAATGGGGTGTGGGGTATTAAGGTGATGTGGGTTATTAATGAGCTGTGGGATATTACTGGTGTATGTAGTGTTAATGAGGTCTGTATTATTAATGGGGTGTGGGGGGTATTAATGGGGTGTGGGGGTTATTAATGGGGTGTGGGGGGTATTAATGGGGTGTGGGGGGTATTAATGGGGTGTGGGGGGTATTAATGGGATGTGGTGATGTGTGGGAGGAATTGCCTCACAAGCGAGAGGACGTGGGTTTGATTTCCGGGCAGAGCAAAATGTTCGGAATATTCCTCACTCCCACACACGCTGCTGTTTCCCGGCAGTGAGGAGCAGAACAATAATCCTTCAAACAAAATGTAAGAATCCCTTATTCCATGACTGTTTGTGGGACGCTGCTGTGCGCAATTGTCTGCCGTGTTTCGCCCACAAATTATACATCAATTGACTTTACAGTGCACTCTAAAGCACTTTGAGATGTCTCGAAGATGTGATAAGGCTCTGTAGCAAACGTAAGGATTATTATTATATCTCAGTCAAAAGTGATCAGTGTAAATGTGTATTGTCTCCTCGCTGGGCCCCACTGTCTGCTCGTGCGTCAACTCCCCGACCCTCTTCCTGACCTCAGATTCTTCATGGTCTCACTCCTTCCTACCCCGGCTGTCTCCGGCCTCGGCCTCTGCTCTGACACCTCTGCTCTACTGCTCACTGCTCTCTTCCTCCAGTGACGGCACCTTCAGCTTTTACTCTGGACGGTGCTCTACATTTCCCTCTCTCGAAAGACGTTTCTCTCTGACTCTGCATTTGGCCAACACCCTGACCCCGTTTCCACTTTTGAAGCCACCCGCGGGTTTGCTCCTCCCTCCCTCTGCCCCCTATTAACAGCAAACCTTTCCACTCCCGCTCCCCCCGCTCCCCCCGCTCAGTGGGCACTGGGCTGTTGCATGTTCCCTGCTCTGCCGACTTATACAACAATAATAATAATTTTGTCACTCATTCCACTACTGCTTGTAGGGTAATACCTCGTGCAATTAGCTGCCGTGTTTCTCCCACAAAATATATACAATTCACAGAATATTCTGTCAATCGCTTTGAGACAAATGTAAGGATTATTATTACTATTACCCCCACACCACAGGAGGTTGGGTGTTCAGCTTTGCTGCCTCCACCCTTTAGGACTCCATCCCAGAATCCCTACACCTCGCCCCCACGCTTCCTTCCTTCAAGGCACATCTCAAGACCTTTCTGTTGGACTGTGCCTTCAGTCTCCCTCCCACCCCTACCCCCACCCTTCTTCATTCCAACCCCAGCTTGTGTGCAAATCATTAAATGTCCAGCGCCCTGGACGTGCTTTGGAAAGGCCGTACTTAGATGTAATTTGTTATTGTTGTTTGTCTTCTTATTTGGGAATTCCCGTTGGCAGATGAAGTGTTTTGGGACTTTAATCGTCCAGGAAGGGTACTGTCTAACAGTACAAGTTGTGAAGAGTTTGAGACAGTCATTCATGAAAGGCGCTGTGTGAATAATAATAATTATAATAATAACAATAATCCTTGCATTTGATATAGAGCCTTATCACGTCGCTGCAACAGCTCAAAGCACTTCACAGGATATACTGTAAAGCGTAGTAACTGTGTGATTTTTGGGCAAAACGTTGTGTTAAGTTCTGAAATGCAGTCAGGTTTGTAAACTTGTCTGTAACACAAACTGATTTAATCATGTGTGTGTGTGTGTGTGTGTGTGTGTGTGTTTCCTCTCTGTGTAGCTGAGGCCTCCACTGCGATGTAAAACCAAGATAGCGACGGATTTAATCAGATTGGAAACTGCGGCTGGTGCTGAGCTAAAGAGCCTGTGGTGAGAGCTGTGTCTCTGGTCCCTTCTCCTGATCAGGTTAAACTTTACATTGAGCTGAAATGCCATCTTATTACACTGACTTGATCAACACGTGATCTCTCAACCCAGGTCCTGGCAGCCACACACTTGAGGCAAATGTCTGATGGAAATGCACAGAGATTCTCTGATCTCTACACAGTTACATGGTTTTGTCAGCGTGGCTCAGTTGGCTGCGTTCTTCCCTCTGAGTCAGATGTTTGTGGCTTCAAACCCCACGTCAGGATTTGGAACTCACATAGTCTAAGCTGGAATTCCAAAGCTGATGCTGGGAGTGCACTGCATTTGTTGAGGTGCCGTCCTTTGGATGAGATGTTAAACCAAGGCCCTGTCTGTCTGTTCAAATGGATCTTAACGATCCCACCATTGGGAAACAGGGGAGTTTCTCCCGGTGTCCTGGCCAACAATCCCCCCAAACATTGGCCACTCACTTCATGGCTATGTGTGGGATGTTGCTGTGTGCAACTTAGCTGCTGTGTTCCCAATAAAGTGCAGTCCTGTAGCTTAATGGTTTGATCGCTCGCCTGGCAAGCACCAGTACCTGGGTTCGATTCCTGGCACGGCAAAACATTGGGCAAGTTTCCTTACGCCACACCCTCTGTCCTGCCTGAAGTCCTTCCTGTTCAGCAGTGCCTATGGTCACTTCGCGCCTCTTCCTGGTTCAGCAACATGTTCCGCCACTGTCAAGCGTTCTGGGACGCTATCCTGCGTGAGGGCGCTATATATATATGCAAGTTGTTGTGTGTCTGTTTAATGTGGTGAGTGACAGTGTATGTTGTGGACATAAGCAGCAGCCAATTTGCAGACATCTGTGGAGTTAGTGACCAACTCTGAGAGAACCTCATTGAGGTGTAAACATTTCAAATGGGATTCAAAATGTACAGTCACATACGGAGTATCTGTAAAGCTCATTGGGACTCCCTCCCAATGTGAGACACTGCACCAAATGTCAGGACTATTGTTGTTGTTTTATTGCGATTTTGTGACTGTTATGTTTTGTGTCACAAAGGGCACCGAGTGCGGAGAGGGCAGGTGATGTCCACACTTGATGCCGTGTGTGTAACGCTGGGAACGCTGCTGGCCCTCGTGCTGATGGCACTCGCTGTACAAATCAAACACAATGTGCCCAGAGGAGGTGAGAGCCCGACACGTGCCCTGGAGTCAGGCGGAGCCGTGTGGGGAGTGAACTGTATCAGTTAGAGAATCGGTGACAAGGGACAGTCACGGCACTGTTAGCAGAACAACAGCGGAGACTTTAGAGAAGATTTCTTCACTCACAGGATTGTTAGTGTCTGGAATTCTTTCCCATGTGGTATTGAGGCTGATCCACAAGATCACACAATGGTTTCGATGAAGAAGGCTCTTTGCCTCTTCCGATCTCATCTCTCCAGAACACCCACCCGAACATCAACCCCCCCCCCCCACCAACCCCCCACCTCCATCACCAAATGGAGCTGCTTTTAACACAGGATACTCTTTGTGTTCGTCAAATAGAAATTGCCATTTCCTGTCGCGAGTATGTTCCAAGATGTTTGACTTTTGTGGCTTGGCCCCTGAGCTGGGGTTGGGTCCATGGGCGGGTGAGCCGGGGAAACATGATCAAAGTCATAGTCAAAGAGGAAGGTCTTGAGATGGGACTTTAAAGAGGTGAGGGAGGGCCCGAGTCTGAGGGATTCCAGGATGGAGTTCCAAATAGTGTGGGCAGATCGGCTGAAAGCCGGACCGCCAATGGTGAGGCGGGCAGGGCAGGGGATGTGAAGCAGACCAGTGCCCACTGAGCAGGAGTGGGCAGGATGGCAATGATTAAGGAGGTCACAGAAGTAGAGTGGAGCAAGACATTGGAGGGCTTTAAAGTGAGTACAAGGATCTCCTCCTCCACAACACCCTCTACTCCACACTTGACCCTCACCTCCCGTACTGTCTCCTGCTCTCGCTCCTCCCCTGGCTCACAACGCACCTCCGCTCATTGAAGAGCCAGGTGCGGGCCGTTGAATGCACCTGCCTCAAATCTGGGCTAACGGTCCACTGACAAATCTGGCTGGACCTCCTCAGAATCTATCACTCCACTCTAGCCTCGGCCAAGTCATCCTTCTACTCCAGGATAACTCTGGAGGCGAAGAACAACCCCAGGCTACTGTTTTCTACCACATCCTGACTCCTCCGTCCCCCCCGCCACCCCGCGCAGGTCATCTCCTCCACCCTTCACTACGAGGAGATGTTGGATTTCCTTGAATCCAAAATCAAGGGAATCCGCTCCATGGTCACTACCCGTCCAACTTCCACCCACCACCCACCCCTTCTCTCCCACACTCCAACTCCCACCCACCACCCACCCCTTCTCTCCCACACTCCAACTCCCACCCAGCCCCTCCCCTTCCCTCCCACACTCCGACTCCTACCCATCCTCCCCTACACCCTTGGTCTCCTCCTCTTCACCCTCTATATGCTCCCCCTGTGGTGACATCATCCGCAGACATGGGGTTAACTTCCACATGTATGCGGATGACACCCAACTCTACCGTTACTCCAAGGTCCTTGAAAGAGTTGTCACCTCCCAACTGCGCACTTTCCCCTCCAGCCGTGCATTATTCGAACCCCTTCAGTCGGGTTTCCGCGCTGCGCACAGCACAGAACCATTCACTGTGAGTTCCTTTCGGTTCAAATTCCAAATAAAAACCTACAGTTCCACTTTGCTGCCGCCAGAGGGCGGTGTTGCACTGTGTGACTTCCCACCAGATTCTCAGTCACTTCACTTGTCCTCCTTGAGGGGAGGGGAGCAGTGTCTGTGTCTGTGTGTCTCTCTGTCTCCCTTATAGGTATCTGAGATGGAGAGGAGACCCCCCCCTCCCCCCGCACACAGGGCTGTTGGAGAGGGAGAGGAGCCGCCATGGCCCCCACTCTCTCCTGGACTCCTCACTGTCGCTCTGATGGTCAGTGTGGATGAGGTGAAGGACACATGACTATCACTTGATGATCTTTGACCCTTATCTGTGTGTATTACCAGTTGTGTCCCTCTGTCCTGTGGACTGCATTGCACCCACAGAGAGGTGAGCAGCTCCTGCTCAGGAGCAGCATCTGTGATGGTGGAATCATTGCTCAATGGAGAGCGGTGTGTGGACCCACGACAAACAGCAAGATCATGGCACTGCTCCCACACATTTCATGCTGAGTTGTGTTGGCCACCAGAAGCTCGGAGGGAGTTACTCTAACCTGCCATCAGCCGAGTGAGGGCTGAAACCCGCACTTGTCTGATATCGAATGACAAACTGGACTGTGCGGCTCAGGACACATACGTGGGTGTCCATGGAGCTCAACTGGCTCCAAGTTAACAGCCTTCAAGACCTTTATGAAGTTACCACTGCAATCTCCTCAACCAGTAGTGACCTGCGTGCTTCCATCACCCAGCAAGCCTCGGCATGTTTAATGATCCCGCCCTACCGGTCCCACCATCAGGTCATGGGCTTTCGGCCAATCTGCCGCCCATCCTCTATAACTCAGCCCCAGAGAACCCTCAAACCCTTCATGAGGGGCACTTTATTGATGCAAATTGTTGTTGTTATTGTCTTTGAACCCAGGATTCACTCGCGCACACACCCCTTTACGGTCCGTATCAAGAGCTCCCGCATTGACCACATCCTTGTTTATGTTTCCCTTCCCTGACCCCATGTCGGGTCTCAATGATTCATGTTCAAGTGTCTGAATGTAATGTGTTTATAAACTCGATGAGATCCCATGCTCTATCCCTCATGAATTTGCTATATAGATGCAATTTATATTTCTTGTCATTTCTGTAAAACGTTTCAATAATGTTGTTCTGCTCGTTCTGTATTTAGTTTATTCGACGCTTTATTTTTTATGTATTTATCTTCAATTCACAATAACCAATGTAATCGAGTATAAGATGTGCAATTCTCAAGTGAATACATTATGTTGTTTGTTCACATGTCTGGAACTAATTGCATTTGTGATCCACGCTGTAGATTCGTTGCTTCAAGTACAAATGTCTTTGAGTGTGACCTCAGAGTGTTCATTGAAGCCTCTGCCTTCAGCCACACAATGTCGTAGTGTAAAACAGAGTATGGAACTTCCAATACTGTACGCAATATTGGCCATTTACTACCCCATTCTTGTAGCGTTTGGAATTCCAGGTATGTCTATTTGGTCACATTTATTAGCAATATTCAGTAGATTACTGCAATGGGCAGAAGAAGTTTTCTGAAGTGACATATCAGGTTATTCAAGTTGGTCGGGAAAAGGAGAGAGAGGAATATGTATTGAATATTGTAAGGTGCAGAGCAGCAAATGGATTGGGGAGTGCAGGTACATAAGTCCTTGAACATAGTGACATAAGTGGAAAAGACGGTGATTAAAGGTTTACAAAGATTTAGAAAAATTTACAAAGAAAGTACAACACAGAAACAGGCCACTCAGATCAACCAGTCCGTGCCGGTGTTTATAACCACTTGGGTCTTTACTCCCTCCCATAGCCTCTATTCCTCTCTCTCTCACGTGAAGGTCTATGTTCCTCGTGAATGCAGCGAATAAAATCATCGATTCAGGCAACAACTCCTGCCCTCTGTGTGAAGCAGTTTCTTCTCCTTGCCCTCTGCGGGGCAATCTCCCTCAATCTCTCTGCCCTCTGCGTGAAGCAGTTCCTTCTAATTTTTATTTTTTATCCCATCGTCACTGTCCCTGGTTACTGACTCCCCCAAAACAGCCCCAAATTGGCACAATCCTCACGACAGGATAGATCCCCAACTGTCGTTCCTACCCCACATCCCTGACCACAATCACTCGACTTCACGTCCACCCGTTGCCCACCTCAGACCCTGTCTCACACTCAACAGCTGAAACCCTCGTTGATTGACGGATTGATTTCAAAGTCCTGAATCTCACTCACAAATGAGTTTGGGTCCCAGCACCTCCTCAGGTCCCTACTTCTCTGACCTGCTTACACCACACAGCTCTAAGCCCTTTCACTCAGCTGCCTTGCCTTCGGCATGTCCCTTGCCCGCTTTGCTCTGCCATCGATGACTGGGGTTTCAGCCGCTACTCATCTCAAACTCTGGAACTCTCTGCCTCAATCCCACGACTGTGTTCCTCTAAGGTGACAGAGACATAGCGCATTTGGGGATTGAAGAGGAAAGGAGATCAGTATATGAAGGATAGAGCCTCGAAAAGGTATGAGGGTAACAAGAGCAGCAAAGCTCAATGCACACCTTCATCTGTCAGTCCGTGCAGACTCGATGGGCTGAATGGACTCCTTTGTGTTATACATTTCTCTGATTCTGTTATACCTTCTCTGAATTTGAATGGGTTTCAAAACTGCCATAAGATATGTGGCTCTTAAACCAGGTTTTAGGAAAGTAACTGATTAAGTGTGAGTCTGGCTGACATGTCACACTGAGCCATATTGTACAGCAAAAGCTCCATACGTCGAATCATTCCTTGTGAAACAGATTTCTTTTTTAAAAAATTGGTATTTTCTGGTCTTCCACATCCCTATTATACATAGAGAAGAGGCCTTAGAGTTCCAAAGCACAGTAGCAATAATGGGCAATGTGTTTTAACATAACGAGGGTTTATTTATATAATTCAGTGGTTAATTTTGCTTATTATGGATGATAAATAATTACACAAATTTATAAAATTGTTATTCGCCATTTCTTGGTTTACATATTTCATCTGATTTTTGAAACACTGTCGAAGTTAACAAATTCAAAAATCATCACCGTTCCTCTTCGAATATTACGCAGTGGTTTCTTCAGTACCAGACTGCTATTTGCTGAGGTATTGTGCACTTGGTATATGTGAGAAGATAATAATAATAATCCTTCATTTAATAATTGGTATCAAGATGACATTTCAGAAAATCACTGGATTCTGCATTTTACAGGATGATAAAAATCCAAGAGAGGTCGGAACGTTAGGCCCAATTTGCTACTGCAAATAATGTATTGATTCAATAACGCTTACTGAATTACTAAAGGTGAGGCTATTCGGCATACGTGAATGACACCTGCAAGTATTCTGGGATATGAACTGTGTTTGAAAGTGATTGAAACAGTATGAAGAAAACGCTGCCGAACATAACACAGATTTATATTTATAATCAAACACTTTAATGCAAATGAATAATTCCCGTTGAATAATCAATAATCCTTTGAGGTTGTCCTTTGGCACTTTGCAGGATTTACGGTAAAATGCACGAACTGTATTTGTGTACGAACATATTAGAAACAAATTAAAGACAACACAACAGAATATGATACAGCTTCACACTTTTTACCTCACAATTTCTATTGATATAAATTATTTTTCTGTGCTATTGTTTCTCACAGTTAATTTGCTGGCAATTGTGATCCTGTCAAGAAGAAAGTGCGGTCTGTCCAAGTGCATCACTCGCTACTTGGTAGCAATGGCAGTGGCAGATCTCCTGGTTGTCCTTGTAGAATTATTGTTGAACAAAATTAACAATCTGTATTTCCCATTAAGTTTCTTATTCTATACTCCAGTGTGTAGTGTCAGACTTGTGCTGATGTCTGTAACACTCCACAGTTCTTTGTGGTTCACTGTCGCTTTCACTTTCGATCGTTTTCTAGCCATTTGCTCCCAAAAGTTGAAACCAAAATATTGCACAGAGAGAACGGCCACAGTGGTTATAGCAACGCTGTCTGTGTTTAGCTGCTCTGTGAGCATTCCGTGGTATTTTACTCTTGATCCTTATGTTATAGTTAACGATATACCGTGGTACTGTGTCTTCAAATCAAACTATTATACGATGGCCTCCTGGAAAGTGTTTGAAAGGCTTCACCGTGTTATTGCTCCCGTGTTTGGTTTTGCCTTGATTTTTGCCTGTTCAATGCTCTGATTATCAGGCACATACTGATGGCCAGTGATGTCCGCAGGAGCCTTCGATGTCAAAATCATTCTGAGAAAACTATTGATCCAGAGTTAGAAAACCGAAGAAAATCTGTCATCTTACTCTTTGCGATGTCGGGCAGTTTTATTCTGTTGTGGACCACTTTTATTGTATATTCCTTCAAATGGCAACTTTCCAATTTCAGTTATAGCGAAACTTTTGTCAATAACATGCGTTTTATCGTCCAAGAAACCGGAATCATGCTTCAAAGGATGAGTTGTTGTACCAACACCTGTATTTATGCAATGACTCAGACTAAGTTCAGAGAAGAGCTCAAGACAGGGTTAGTTTATCCATTTCATATCATTGCCGAATTAATGATAAAACATCGTAAACGCAGGTAAGAAAGAAGTTGGCTTCACACACTGTTGAACTTCAGGGACATTGGTGAATGTCTCCACAAGCAGAGACGCCTTCCAACATCATGAGCAGATATCAATAAAGCATCGTTTCCTTCCAAATCTTGTGACTATCTGTAAAGTTAAACTCCTGCCCCCGAAACATTGAAGTGAATGTCCTTTGACTTGATGAAGGAATGTTTGATTTTGGTTCAGGTGTGTGGAGTAAAGGAAAATACCCAATGTTTCGCTCTGCCCGGGAATCAAACCCATGTCCTCTCGCTTACGAGTCAAGCGCTCTAACCACTGAGCTACAGGACTCCACATTCTGCTGGTAATAAACGGGGAGAGAAGGTGCCTTTTGCCCTATAATATATAGTGAAGTGATGTGAGCCTCGACAGCGGAGGCCACGACCGGTGTCAGTGGGGACACACCGGCTCTCATTTCTCACCGTGCAATTCTGTTATACTCTCCAGCAGCGACACACCTGGTGACAGCCTGACATGTGCACAACAGCCACGTGTGTGTGAGGTCCTGCAGGAGATGGTGGTTCCCCAACACGTGGTCAGGAGAGAAGGGCACAAACTGTCAGACCGGTGTCTTCACTGTGAGTCACTGGTGTTGGATCAAGTGGATGTACTGTCCACATCAAACTACTACTGTTGTTTCCTTCACTTCCCAAAGCATCTTCTCATGTGGGCGGTGAACAGCACCGACTCCGGTAAAGCTTTCCCACTGCAACGGCATCTTTCACAGCATTTGTGATCTTTCAGACTGACTCTCCAGTGGCAGCACTGAGGTTTAGCACCGCATTGACCTTAAAATGACCATAACCCGCCCATACCCACCCAACCCGCCACCATAACCCTCCCAACCCGCCCAACCCGCCACCATAACCCGCCCAACCCGCCCAACCCGCCACCATAACCCTCCCAACCCGCCCAACCCGCCACCATAACCCGCCCAACCCGCCCAACCCGCCACCATAACCCGCCCAACCCGCCACCATAACCCGCCCAACCCGCCCAACCCGCCACCATAACCCGCCCAACCCGCCCAACCCGCCACCATAACCCGCCCAACCCGCCCAACCCGCCACCATAACCCGCGCAACCCACCTATCCCTCTCCCCCCACCGGTCGCTCTTAGTCTCAGTGCATTTTTGCTGCCGTCACCGACAAGAGCTGTTACCCCAAAATGCTCCCACCCCCGTCCCCACCTCTGTGACCTCCTCACCCCCCACCAACCCGTCCGCTCCCTCTGCTCAGTGGCCTCCGGCCCCCGCCTCGCCAGCCTTCAGCCTCTCTGCCCCCACCCTTTGGAACTCCATCCGACTCCCACTCCGCCTCACCCCCTCCTGTGCCTCTTTCAAGACCTGTCTCAAGACCCTCCTCCTGGACCGAGCCCCCACCCTCCGCGCCCTCCACCCCTCCTGATCCCAACCACCTGCCCGGGTGCGGATCCCTGACTGTCGGGCGCCTCGGACGTCCTCCTGACGTGAAAGGCGCTTTACAAATCTAATTTGTTATTGTTGTGTTTCTCACAATATCTGTGTCCCCGCACTTTCCGCCCCACCATTGGGTCGGACATTCAGCATCTCCGCCCCCACCCTGGAACTCCATCCCCAAATCCCTCCACCTCACCCCCTCTCTCACCTCCTTCAGGTCGCGTCTAAAGACCTTCCTCTTCGACCGTGACTTCAGCCCCAACTCCTGTCCTCCACCCCCAACCCCCGCCACGCCCTGCTCCACCCCCAAACCCCAGCCCTCCACTCCCCAACCCCCCCTGCCCTCCACCCCCAACCCTCTGCTCTTCACCCCCAACCCCCCTACCCTCCACCTCCACCCCAACCCCTGCCCTCCACCCCCAACCCCCTGCCCTCCACCCCCCCCCAACCCCCTGCCCTCCACCCCCAACCCCTGCCCCCACCCCAAACCTGCCCTCCACCCCCAAACCCCTGTGCTTCACCCCCAACTCCCAGCCGTTCACCCCTCCTGACCCCAATACCCAACTCAGGTCCAGTAACCCCTGACTGTCCAGTGCCCTGGAACGTCTTTCTGACATGAAGAGCGCTTTACAATTGTCTGTAAAGTGTTGTTGTTGTTGTTGTTGTGTGTCCCAATATCTGTGTGTGTGTGGGAGGGGGTGGAGGGCCTTTTACACGGTTGGTGGTGGGAATGAGGAATTATCCCCTACAAACTGCAGTTGAGGCTGCGGCCGTTGATGGTTTATAAAAGAGAATGAGGCGGATGATGGATGAGGGAATATTAAAGGCTTCTGGGCAGTGATCGCGGGAGAGACGAGGGCAGACATTTCCTGAGGTTGTGGGCGGTTGCCATCAAACCCACACTGCCCGGCGGTGCTGCTCGTGTGCAGCTGTTCCCAACCGTTCACTCTGTCATTTGGAGCAAAGTGGTTGGTTTCGAGGCCTATGTTGTGGCCGTGAGCTGATGCCCCAGTGCAGGCGGGGGAGCAGCGCCGTGTTGGGGAGGCCGACCTGTGGATGGGATGGTGACCTGAGGTCCTGTCTGACAGCTCCAGGAGATGTCAGAGATCCCAACACATACACCACACTGAGGACACTGAGGAAATAACCTGAGGCTTGTGGTTGGTAAGAAATCTGGAGACTGCGGTCTTTATTCAATGCTGCATTTTTGATAACTTTAAACTATTTAAATGAGAAAAGCCATTGTGCGGTACAGGGGGGCACTGTGTGTGCTAATAACTAAAGGGGTGACGCTGTGGGGTGTGAATGGGGTGTGGGGTGTGTACTAGTTATGGTGAGTGTGTGTTATTCACGAGGGTTTGTGTGGTATTAATGTGGCAAATATGCTTTATAGCATTAAATATACATAGGAATTGTGGGGTATTAATGGGGTGCGGGGTATCAATGGAGTTTGTGGTGTCAATGGAGTTTGTGGTATCAATGTGGTGTGTGGAGCATTAATGGGGTGTGTGGGGTATGGGGGGTATTTTGTGGTGTATGAATGGGATGTGGGGTGTGAATGGAGTGTGGGTTATTAATGGGGTTTCGGGTATTAATGGGTTGTTTGATGTAATAATGGGGTGTGGGGTATTAAGGGGGTGTGGGTAATTAATGAGGTGTGGGATATGAATTGGGTGTGGGGTATTATTGGAGTGTGGGCTATGAATGGGTTTGATGTAATAATGGGGTGTGGGGTATTAATGGGGTGTGGGGTATTAATGGGTTGTTTGATGTAATAATGGGGTGTGGGGTATTAAGGTGATGTATTAGGGTGTGGTATTAATGAGCTGTGGGATATTACTGGGGTATGTAGTGTTAATGAGGTCTGTATTATTAATGGGATGTGGGGGGTATTAATGGGGGTATTGTGTGGGGGGTTATTAATGGGGTGTGGGGGGTATTAATGGGGTGTGGGGGGGGTATTAATGGGGTGTGGGGGGTATTAATGGGATGTGGTGATGTGTGGGAGGAATTGCCTCACAAGCGAGAGGACGTGGGTTTGATTTCCGGGCAGAGCAAAATGTTCGGCAATATTCCTCACTCCCACACACGCTGCTGTTTCCCGGCAGTGAGGAGCAGAACAATAATCCTTCAAACAAAATGTAAGAATCCCTTATTCCATGACTGTTTGTGGGACGCTGCTGTGCGCAATTGTCTGCCGTGTTTCGCCCACAAATTATACAGTCAATTGACTTTACAGTGCACTCTAAAGCACTTTGAGATGTCTCGAAGATGTGATAAGGCTCTGTAGCAAACGTAAGGATTATTATTATATCTCAGTCAAAAGTGATCAGTGTAAATGTGTATTGTCTCCTCGCTGGGCCCCACTGTCTGCTCGTGCGTCAACTCCCCGACCCTCTTCCTGACCTCAGATTCTTCATGGTCTCACTCCTTCCTACCCCGGCTGTCTCCGGCCTCGGCCTCTGCTCTGACACCTCTGCTCTACTGCTCACTGCTCTCTTCCTCCAGTGACGGCACCTTCAGCTTTTACTCTGGACGGTGCTCTACATTTCCCTCTCTCGAAAGACGTTTCTCTCTGACTCTGCATTTGGCCAACACCCTGACCCCGTTTCCACTTTTGAAGCCACCCGCGGGTTTGCTCCTCCCTCCCTCTGCCCCCTATTAACAGCAAACCTTTCCACTCCCGCTCCCCCCGCTCCCCCCGCTCAGTGGGCACTGGGCTGTTGCATGTTCCCTGCTCTGCCGACTTATACAACAATAATAATAATTTTGTCACTCATTCCACTACTGCTTGTAGGGTAATACCTCGTGCAATTAGCTGCCGTGTTTCTCCCACAAAATATATACAATTCACAGAATATTCTGTCAATCGCTTTGAGACAAATGTAAGGATTATTATTACTATTACCCCCACACCACAGGGGTTGGGTGTTCAGCTTTGCTGCCCCCACCCTTTAGGACTCCATCCCAGAATCCCTACACCTCGCCCCCACGCTTCCTTCCTTCAAGGCACATCTCAAGACCTTTCTGTTGGACTGTGCCTTCAGTCTCCCTCCCACCCCCTACCCCCCACCCTTCTTCATTCCAACCCCCAGCTTGTGTGCAAATCATTAAATGTCCAGCGCCCTGGGACGTGCTTTGGAAAGGCCGTATTTAGATGTAATTTGTTATTGTTGTTTGTCTTCTTATTTGGGAATTCCCGTTGGCAGATGAAGTGTTTTGGGACTTTAATCGTCCAGGAAGGGTACTGTCTAACAGTACAAGTTGTGAAGAGTTTGAGACAGTCATTCATGAAAGGCGCTGTGTGAATAATAATAATTATAATAATAACAATAATCCTTGCATTTGATATAGAGCCTTATCACGTTGCTGCAACAGCTCAAAGCACTTCACAGGATATACTGTAAAGCGTAGTAACTGTGTGATTTTTGGGCAAAACGTTGTGTTAAGTTCTGAAATGCAGTCAGGTTTGTAAACTTGTCTGTAACACAAACTGATTTAATCGTGTGTGTGTGTGTGTGTGTGTGTGTGTGTTTCCTCTCTGTGTAGCTGAGGCCTCCACTGCGATGTAAAACCAAGATAGCGACGGATTTAATCAGATTGGAAACTGCGGCTGGTGCTGAGCTAAAGAGCCTGTGGTGAGAGCTGTGTCTCTGGTCCCTTCTCCTGATCAGGTTAAACTTTACATTGAGCTGAAATGCCATCTTATTACACTGACTTGATCAACACGTGATCTCTCAACCCAGGTCCTGGCAGCCACACACTTGAGGCAAATGTCTGATGGAAATGCACAGAGATTCTCTGATCTCTACACAGTTACATGGTTTTGTCAGCGTGGCTCAGTTGGCTGCGTTCTTCCCTCTGAGTCAGATGTTTGTGGCTTCAAACCCCACGTCAGGATTTGGAACTCACATAGTCTAAGCTGGAATTCCAAAGCTGATGCTGGGAGTGCACTGCATTTGTTGAGGTGCCGTCCTTTGGATGAGATGTTAAACCAAGGCCCTGTCTGTCTGTTCAAATGGATCTTAACGATCCCACCATTGGGAAACAGGGGAGTTTCTCCCGGTGTCCTGGCCAACAATCCCCCCAAACATTGGCCACTCACTTCATGGCTATGTGTGGGATGTTGCTGTGTGCAACTTAGCTGCTGTGTTCCCAATAAAGTGCAGTCCTATAGCTTAATGGTTTGATCGCTCGCCTGGCAAGCACCAGTACCTGGGTTCGATTCCTGGCACGGCAAAACCTTGGGCAAGTTTCCTTACGCCACACCCTCTGTCCTGCCTGAAGTCCTTCCTGTTCAGCAGTGCCTATGGTCACT